TTTTTTCTTTTTTTTGCGGTACGCGGGCCTCTCAGTGTTGTGGCCTCGCCCGCTGCGGAGCACAGAGAGCCTGGACGTGCAGGCTCAGCGGCCATGGCTCACGGGCCCAGCCGCTCTGCGACATGTGGGATCTTCCCAGACCGGGGCACAAACCCGTGTCCCCTGCATCGACAGGCGGACTCTCAGCCACTGTGCCACCAGGGAAGCCCGGTCTGTGTCTTTTTTACATATGGATATCAGTTGTTCCAGGAAGTTTTGTTGAAAATTCTATCCTTTCTCCATTGAATTGCTTTTGCTCCTTTGTCAAAAATCAGTTGACTCAGGGAATAGAGCCAATATTTTATCATAACTATAAACGGAATATAATCTATAAAAATTTTGAATCACTATGTTGTACACCCAAAACGAATATAATATGGTAAATCAACTATACCTCAATTTTTTAAAGTATCAGTTGACTATTTGTGTTGGCCCACTTCCATTGATCTATGTGTCTGTTTTTTCACCAATACCATGCTGTGTTGATTATCATAGGCTGTTATCATTTTTTTTTCCCCCTGGGTATGAATGTCCTGAGACACGTGTGAGAGGAGTGGAGGGGAAGCACAAAGATGGCCCCAGGTCTGAGAGAAGGGGTGAAACCACAGAGAGGGGAGAGTGAACGATGCAGAGGCCTGGAAGGCACGGAGCTGTGCCTCTTCTGCACCTCTACCTGGGGTGGCCTAGACACCCATAGCTTCATATTGGCTGCCAGGCCCCATACCTGATGTGCTCACCCTCCACCTGGTGGCAGTTGGACAGAATCCTCTATCCTCGCACAGATTAGAACCTGCATGGATTCCCAGAGCAGGCCAGCGTTTCCTCACTGCCCGCTTCCTGATTTATCCCACACCACAGGCAGGCTGCCTACCCCTAATAGCTTTCTAGACAGAAAAGAGGGCCTAGGTGTTTTGTACTCCATGAAGGATTCTGTCGGAGTTCAATGTCCTGGCCCTATCAGAGGCCAGTGGGACTCAGCACTTCTTTCATCATGAGCTCCTCTCCCATTGGAAGGGATTTTTTTTGCATGAATTAAGCTTTGTCCCTGCTTGGGTCACACGCTCACCCCTGAACCAATCTCGGTAGCTAGGGAAGAGGAAATGCGCGGACTGGCTGCTTCTGGGCCATACATTCCCCCCAGAATGGGCCATGTGGACCTAGAATGATGGAAGGGCAGGTTCCCAAAAGAAAACTGGGTGCTGGTACCAAAAGAGGGGGAATGGGTGGGGAACTGGTTAAAACTCCTGCCATCCACTCCTCCGCCTGCTCAGAAACCTCAGTGCCTCTACTGCCCTGTCCGGTTGCCTGTGGGGTGGCCTCTACATGTTCCTCCAGCCTCATACCCCTCTTTTCATATCAGCTAAGCTACCCTCTCACAGTTCTCCAGATGGGCCTACTCTCCTCTTCACTGCTTCTCCACTTCTGTGGTCTCCCCAGATGGTCACCCATGCCTTGCCTCTTGGCCTGGCCAAACTTTACCTGATTTTCCTAACAACCAGGTGAGTGACGTAAGGAGGACTGAAGGAGGGTCGAAGCCACCTGATGTGGAGATAAAGGGGTGAGATAGAAAGACCTAAGGACTCCTCCAACCTTCCAGCAAAGAATCTTTGGGCAAAATCAAGACCAACCACCTTGAAGCTTCTGGGGCTACTTTGTTAATCATTTTTATTTTTTAAAATGTTTATTTATTTTTTGGCTTCACCTCACAGCTTGCAGGATCTCAGTTCCCCAACCAGGGATTGAACCCAGGCCACGGCAGTGCAAGCCCGGAATCCTAACCACTAGGCCACCAGGGAACTCCCCTTAATCATTTTTAAATTGAAAGTATTTTGTTTTTCACAAAGATGTTTACTGCAGCATTAATTGTAATGCCAAAAACTGGAAGCTGCCCAAATGCCCTGCACTCGAGAATGAATTATAGCGTTTAAGATTCTTTCAACAGTAAGTGACAGAAGCTCAGCTCAAACTAGCTTAAGCACAAAAGGGAATTCAGTGGCCCCGGAAACCGAGCAGTCCAAGGGGCTTAAATGATGTCAGGCCCCCTCCATCTCTTGGTTCTGCTTCCCTCCGGTGTGGGGCTCATTTTCTCTCACTATTGACTAGTTTCCTCCATTGTGGGGAAAGGGAGGCCAAGACGCAGATTGCTCCAGACTTATATTATTACTGCTTCGTGACCTTGGAAGAAAGAGAAAGATGCCCTTTCCCAGAGACCCAGGGCAGGACATCCTGGCATGGGTGATTTGCTCATTCCTGGGCCAGTCTCTGTGGCCAGAGGAATGGGATCCTGTGATTGGCTGAATCTGGTTCCGGGGGGCAGGAGGAGGTTGCTGTGACTGACGGTCGCACCGGAACCACATGGAGTGGGGTGGTGGATGAAGAGTTTCCCAGAAGACTTTTACTGCTGTTACCAGGGTGACAAAATCTAGTTGATGCAATATTACATTCCAGGAAAAATTATAATTACAAAGTCCATGTATGTAGTGACATGGCAAATAGTTATGAAGCAGAAAACAGAATTGAAACTATGATGGCACGTTTGGAAGGTAGAAAAAGAGAAAACTTTTGCTTTGTTGGGGTGGTGGAAGAATGTATCATTATATTAAAAATCTTCTGGGACTTCCCTGGTGGTGCAGTGGTTACGAATCCACCTGCCAATGCAGGGGACACGGGTGGTTCGAGCTCTGGTCCGGGAAGATCCCACATGCCACGGAGCAACTAAGCCCGTGCACCACAACTACTGAGCCCGAGTGCCACAACTACTGAAGCCTGCGCACCTCGAGCCTGTGCTCTGCAACAAGAGAAGCCACCACAATGAGAAGCCCGCACACCTCAATGAAGAGTAGCGCCCGCTCACTACAACTAGAGAAAGACTGTGCGCAGCAACGAAGACCCAACACAGCCATAAATAAATAAATAAATTTATATAAATAAATAAATAAAATAAAAATCTTCAGTACCTTTGCAAAAATATTTGTACAATAAATAAAAGGTGTTTGTGCAAAAATAATCTGGCACACATCACATGATACGATTTTCAGAGCTAAGTTTCTTTTCGGAATGAGATGGGGCATAAATAGATGGTGATTTGTATAGATCTGAAATGTCATGCTTTTCATCTTTGTGGTTGCTTTGAGCAGGGGGCCAAATGGAACCTCTTTGTCAGGAGTGTTAGAACATTCTCAGTGTAGCTCCAGCGAACTTTAGCTCCCCAAAACATGCTATCCTGCCTTTGGGAGCAGAGGAAGTCTCTCCCCACCAGGCAGGCAGGTGAAAAGCCTTCGGGTGGGTCTCTGATAAGGACAGAGAGAGGACAAGGAAGTAAGCTCAGATGAGCCAGGAAGGACAGGTAAAGGTGCATGGGCGGCCCAGCCCACCTAATTCCCCTTTTTGTGCCCATACCCCCATGCAGAGCTGGGGTGGTTCATGTAGTACCAAGTGCCAACATGTCTGCAGCCGACAACCAGCACTTTGGGGTTAGTTATCTTTTTATTTTTCTTTTTGGCCGTGCTGTGTAGCTTGCTGGATCTTCCTTCCCCAACCAGAGATGGAACCCGTGCCCTAGGCAGTGAAAGCGTGGAGTCCTAACCACTGAACCGCCAGGGAAGTCCCAGTTATCTTTTTAAATGTTATTTTTGTAAGTAGTAAAACTAATAAAGACACTCCTATTTTAGTAAAAACAAAAAACAGGATTTGTTTTGCTACACACATGTATCTAGCTTTCTTGATAGGGTCTCTGAGGCACTCTTGTAGAGATTTTGTCTCCCTGGTATCTAGGGGAGAGAGAGAGAGAGAGAGAGAGAAAGAGAGGAAAGGAGAGCCAGGGGAGTAGTGCTGTGGGGAGGATTCAACTCAGTTTGTTCAATTCATCAAAATATTAAGCACCTCTTATTATGTGCCTGAATTTGTTCCAGAATTTTAGGGTATATCAGTGAACAAAAAAGATAAAGATCACGCCTCCAGGAAGCTTACTTTCTTCTCTTTAAAATGTCATCATTTATTTATTGACAGGAAGCTTACTTTCTAATGTGTATGTAGCTATAAACATACTATGTCAATTTAATAGTAATACACTATATGCTATAAGGCATGATTATAAGGCTATGGAAAAAAAGGCAGGTCAGGAATGTGACGCAATTTTAAAGAGTGGTAGGGCAGCCTCACTGAGAAGGCGATATTTGAGAAATGAGGTGAGGGAATCTTTCATGGGGATGTCTTGGGAAGGGGGTCTCCAGGCAGAAGACACAGCCAGTGCAAAGGCCCTGGGGCAGGAATGTGCCTCAGAGGAGAGGTTTAGGTTCATTGTTGGACCTTGTCTTTTACTCTGGACTTTGTCTTTTACTCTGAGGAAAAATGAGTTAAAATATATGTTCTAACCCAGTTTTCTGGCTTTTCTTCTTAGTGTCTTGTTTGGAGTGTGTGTGTGTGTGTGTGTGTGTGTGTGAGAAAATCTGGCAAAAGCAGGCACCTGGGCGTGGGCAAAGGTCCCCTGAGTTCCTAACTGCCCTTACATCTTCCTCTCATTACCCTACTTCCCAGGCTGGGGTGTGGCTCATTCCGCCCCCTCAGTTGTTTTTATGACACACTCTGAGCCCTGAGAACTCAGCTCTTCAATCACAGAGCAAATTAGAGGTGAGAGGGACCCCTGCCCACTGCCCCCGCCCCCAGGGTACTGGCTTCCAGCCAATCAACATCAAAACCTCCCAGGGGGACAGGGAGAGTCAGGGGCTGGGACCCTGAGAGACAGGGACTGAGAATGGGGAGCAGGCAGGGGGCTCAACAAAGGGCATATCCACCTGGGGTGCACTGAGATCTCACACCGACCCCTTGGTCCACTACACACACACGCTCGCCTGACACAATGGCTGGGTGGGGCTGAGCAACTGGCTTCCTCTGCGGAGATCTCAATCTGGGCCCTCAGTTCCCGCCCCAGAAACACAGGAACAGACCATCAGAGACCCGGCCCCGCGTTCCTTGTTCCAAGGGGCAGGCAGGACGGGCTGAAAACAGAAACCGCTTCCAAAAAGATAAAGGTAAATTTAGGGAGGGGGAAACCGGGGTGGGCGGTGGGGTCCCTTGGTGTGAGATAATGGGCCGACTCATCCCCCGGGGACAGGTTGGATGCGAAAGGGACAGGCTGTCATGCGAGGCGTGGAAGAGATGGTCAGACACGCCGTCGAGGGACACACACCCCATCCCTCAGCGATCCAGAGGTGTCTGGAGCCCACGCCCTCCCGCCAGCCCAGCCAGTGCCATTGCCACCCTGTCCTCACCCCCACCCCTGTCCACCCCCAGCCGCTGTCCACACAGCCATGCGGACCCAGGACAGAACGTGCACATACAACGTGCACAAACAGTCCACTCTCCACGGCTGAGTTTCATCCTTTCCCCAGACTCTGTTATCCTCTGAAACCCGGCATTCGGGGTCCCTCACATCTTCCAGAGCCCCAGTGTGCGCATGTGGAGTGTGGTGTGGTTTGGGGGGGGTTGTCCGGTTGGGAGGAGGATCCGATTCCTGTTTCCTGCCCCTACTCACTCGCCCCGGGAGGTGACCGAGAGTGGAGAGGCCTCGAGGGTGAGTGCTTGGGCCGAGTACCTGGATCCCTGCGAGAGGCCTGAGTGGGGGGCGGGGGAAGGAAGTTAGGGCAGGTACCTGAGGGGGGCAGGGATCTCTGAGGGGGGCAAGGCTGGGGAGGAGCTGGCCAGCTGGCGAGGCTACTGCCCGGGGTCACCTAAGGAGCTTCCTGCCAGAACACAGAGGCCATTGAGCTGCAAGACTCCCAGCCTACAGCTCCCAGCCCCCACCCTGCATCATTTCTCAAAAACCAATCTGGGGCCTGGAGGGAGCTGACTCTCCTGCTGACTCCACAGGGGAGTTTGGGGGTGCCAGGTCTCCCAGCCCGGACCTTGCTGCCTTCTCAGGATTACAGCGCCTTCCTGGCGGGAGGAAGTGAGCCCAGGCCCCAGCGTCTTGGCACCATTGGTCCTCACCTTTAGTCTGGCCTCCTGACCACCCTCTAGGCATCCTGGCGGGACCCAGGCTTCCACCGGGGCATCTCTCCGGGACCAGGTGGGGGGCTGGGAGACAGGCAGGGGTGAGGATGGGGCAGGAGAGACCATGCGGGGGCCTCCTGGTCTCTTGGGGTCAGAGGCTCCAGGAACTTTCATGGCAGGAAAAGGAGACTAAAAATAATCCGGAAAGGGAGAGTCCAGAGAGAGGAACTGGGAAATGGGGGCGGAGGGCCCGTTGGAGCAGGGAAATAGTGATGCATCCCTCACGGCCCAGGCACGGGCGGGCGCGCAGGCAGACGCACACCGCACATACGCCCCACACGACAGCACGGAACACACACACCCTTGCAGCCCCATCTCACACAACACGCTTGACACACTGTGTACTCCACTCTCCCACTGCATACTCGCGTGTAACAGATACACTCTGAAACACAGCATCCAACACCCCGGTCATGTAGCACTAGAAACACACCATGTCCACTCACACTTAAACCACACACACAAACCTCCACAGCACACACTACAGACACAAAACACAATAAATCAGGTAGACACATAGCGGCTCTACCGGCACACCCCACTGCCCTTACTGATCCAGTTCTCTTGCGTCCCTCCCCCAGCCTGGGTCTCTACCCAGGTGCCCCAACTCTGGCCTCACTGTCTCCTCTGGCCTGACTGGGGCAGCAGAGGCTGAAAGACAGAGCGCAATGGAGGCTGGGGGTGCCAGGGAGGGTTCAGAGTCCTCAGGGAATGGAATAAGGAGGGGTGAGAGGTAAAGGGAGAAGACAGTGGAAACGGGAAGAGAGGAAGTGTACCCACCCGCCTTCCCTCCTGACTCTGAAATCTCGGCTCATTTACTTGCAAACGTTTCTGCTCGCAGGCCTCAGTCTACTCGTGGGCACTAAGGGTCTCTCTTTCTGCCCCTCTTCCTCAGGGGATGACTCCAGCAGTGTACCCCACTCCTTGGAAGAGCTCAGAGGAAGATGTCAGCTCAGTCTCTTCCTGCAGCAACACCCCCTACCCAGAAGCCCCCTCGGATCATCCGGCCCCGCCCCCCTTCTCGCCCCCGGGCTGCCCAGTCCCCGGGGGCCCACCACAACGGCTCCTCTCCACACGAACCTCCCCTCACTGCCAACGAGGCACCAACCCTGATGTGCACCCCCATCTTCTGGGAGCCCCCAGCCTCGTCCCTCAAGCCCCCAGCCCTTCTGCCCCCGTCAGCTTCTAAAGCCAGCCTCGACTCCCAGACTTCCCCAGACTCGCCTTCCGGCACCCCCAGCCCAGTGTCCCGGCGCTCCATCTCCCCAGAACCCGCTCCCCGGTCTCCAGTGCCCCCACCCAAACCCTCCGGGTCACCCCGAACGGCCCTGCCCCTGCTCCATTCGACCCGGGCCCCTGGCCAGGATGGCTCTGCCTCGGCCGCAGGCACCGTGCGGAGACTGGCTGGCAGGTTCGAATGGGGGGTTGAAGGCAAGGTCCAGGCTCCAGATGCCCTGGAGCCGGGTCCTCCTGGGGGACTGGATGTGAATGGGGAGAGAGAGACCGCGCAGGGCATCCTCGCTGGAAGTGGGTCCCAGGAGAATGGCACTCCAGGTAAGCCCGGGCTGGCTCAATCCAGCTCCTCTTCTTTGTTTTCAGGGCTTTAAGATTGGGTACTTGAAGGGGCTACTTTTTAAAAACTGGATTCCATGTTTGGAAAATCTGGTTTTCAGATTTCGGGGGGTTTGAAGAGAATCAGGGTAGAAGGGATAGATGCTTAGGGCTGACCTCCACGTTCCTGCTGCTGGGCAGGTTAAGGGGAGGGAGGAGGCCTGGGGAGGGTGGGTGTCCTAAGGACGCCCCTGTCTCCCACAGATGCTGCGCTGGCCTGCCCTCCCTGCTGCCCTTGTGTCTGCCATGTAGCCCGGCCCGGCCTGGAGCTCCGATGGGTGCCACTGGGGGGCTATGAGGACGGCCCCAGGGTCCCCTGCCGGGCCTCCCCACTGCGGACCTCCCGCTCCCGCCCCAGCCCTCCAAGCCTCAGCCAGCCCCCAGTCGTCCTCACGTCCTACCGCTCCACTGCCGAGCGCAAACTCCTGCCACCCCTCAATCCCCCCAAACCAACTCGGGTCAGACAGGACGTCACCAGCTCCGGGGACGCCCCACAGCCAGATCTCGATCTGCCCTCCGAAGATGGAATCCAGACAGGTACAGGGCCCCCAGGGAGTGGACCTCTGGGCTGGGAAGGAGCCTCTGGGCTCCACCGGGGGGAGGTGGAGCATTCTGAACACAAACTCACTACAGCCCCAGGCAGGCCCTGGGCTTCTTGTTCCTTCACCAGCGGCTGCTCTGGGACTGACCGGAGTTGTAGTTTTTACAGTAACAGTCTCTGCTGCGCGGGAGTCAGGAGTCCTGGGCTGGGGATCCTGGAGGCTTGCTCTCTTCTCTCTGGATTCTCTCTCTAGGGGACAGTCCCGATGGCGCCCCTCAGAACGATCCTCCAGCCACCACGGAGGGCAGGTACCAAACACTCCCACCCTTATTCCTACCTGAGAGCAGACTAACCTTCGGGTCCACCTGAATCCCACCCCCACAAGTGTGGAGTGAAGAAGGCCTAGGCCTCTAGGGACAAGCAGTGCCGGTTTCTAATCCCAGCTCTGTCCCTTATCAGCTGTGTGACCTTATACAAGTCACTTAACCTTTCTGGGTCTCAGCCTCCTCACCTGTGAAATGGGGGTAAACATACCAAATACTTCATAAAGTTGTTGGGGTCTGATATCGGTGACGAGCCAGGGCCATAATAAACCATTTTAGTTCCCCCACTTTGAGCTTCTATCGAAATTATTGCCTGCGAATCCATGTGTCAACCAGGAACATCTCTCCTGTGTTATCTGGGCCTGTTAATCATTTCACCACCATTATCAGGGTTAATCTGAGGCCATCCATTTATTCAACAAACATTTACTGGAGTTTATTCTCCCGGGCTTTTACTTTGGGTGAAAGGGTGCATGGTGGTGCTGATGACCAGAACAGAGCGGGGAGGTATAAGAGCTGGGTTTGCCCATGTTGAGTTGTACCGAGGCACCCATAGGACATTCCAGACAATGGTCATTCCATGAGAGCCCTGGAGATGGAGGCTTGGAAGTCGCCGGTGCACAGTAGTTGAGACTGCAGGAATGGATGGGGCCCACTTAGTACAGGGCCTCACATACAACAGGCACATAAAACGATCCGGGCTTTGGTCACAGTCCCTGCACACAACCTGCATGCAGGCCACGTACCCCCTTACACTGTCACGTGAGGAGCATTCCATCCTTTTCTCTTTCCACAGGGAGGCTGAGGAGCTGGAGGAGCTGAAGGGGCAGAACTGGGAGCTGCCCCTGCAGGACGGTGAGGGCCTCTGCACCTGGGGCGTCCCTGCTGAGACCGTCAAGCGGTGGGCAAGGGTTCCGGGGCACTGGACTTCGCTGATGTGCGACATCTGCTCTCCAGAACCCCTGTACCAGACCTATCGAGCAGCCGTGCTGTCAGAGGAGCTGTGGGGGGTCAGTGAGGATGGGGGACCCTCTTCAGCAAATCCTGGGGAAGCTCCCCCCTTCGCCCGGCCCCCCGGACCTCGCAACACGCTGTGGCAGGAGCTTCCGGCTGTGCGAGCCAGCGGCCTCCTGGACACCCTCAGCCCCCAGGAGAGGCGCATGCAGGAGGTGGATGCACCTGGGGTCGGGCGCGGCGGGGGTGGGGTGGGGGTGGGTGGGGGGGAGGAGCCTGGGACCCGGCGCCTGGGCTGCCTGGGAGCTGGGCTTTCCACTAAGGCCCTGCTGTTCCTCCTCAGAGCCTGTTCGAGGTGGTGACATCCGAGGCCTCGTACCTGCGCTCCCTGCGGCTGCTGACCGACACCTTTGTGCTGAGCCAGGCGCTCCGGGACACGCTCACCCCCCGGGATCACCACACCCTCTTCTCCAACGTGCAGCGAGTCCAGGGAGTCAGTGAGCGGTCAGTGGGGCCGCCACCTCTCCGCAAGCGGGCCTCGGGAGGAAGCACTCCTCAGCGCTCTCCTGTCCCCGGGCCTCCCCTCCAGGGCCCACTTAGTGCCCAGCTCTTCCCTCGAGAAGCCGGGACACCTGGCTCTCTGACCCCCTCCATTACTTGTCGCCCACTCCCCCAGGTTTCTAGGGAAGTTACTGTCCCGTGTGCGCTCTTCCCCGCACATCAGCGACCTGTGCGACGTGGTGCACGCCCACGCCGTGGGGCCTTTCTCCGTGTACGTGGATTACGTGCGGAACCAGCAGTATCAGGAGGAGACGTACAGCCGCCTGATGTGAGCGTCCCAGGGGCGGGGCCACGTCACCAGGGCTGGCGGGAGATGGGGGGCAGGGTCGGGGTCCAGGCCAGGGCAGGTTGCGGGGAGATCGGGGCCTCGAGGCAGATGCCAGCCTGCGCCTGCTTCTACAGGGACACGAACGTGCGCTTCTCTGCGGAGCTGCGGCGGCTGCAGAGCCTCCCCAAGTGCCAGCGGCTCCCGCTGCCGTCCTTCCTGCTGCTGCCCTTTCAGCGCATCACGCGGCTCCGCATGCTGCTGCAGGTACCCGTCCTGGCTTGGGCCCTTTTCGGCCCCACCAACCCCGTTGGAGAGCTCTCCCCAGGGGCCTTCTGCCCCACCATCACCATTTCCCACCCCACCACAAACACAAGAATCCCCTAAGTCAGGACTCCTAATCGGGGCCTCTCCATCCAGGACCCACCAAACCCTACCTGGAGCTACCCAAACGTTTCAAGGAGCCGTCTGGGTGCAGGCAAAGAGCCTCTGGCTAGAGACCTGAATTCTAGATTTAGCTCTGCCACTAACTGGCTGAGCGACCTTGGGCAAGTCCCTTTCTCTGTCCAGGTCTCAGGGGGAATGTGATGAGTGGTCTTTGAGGTCCTCTCAGTCCTGTCTTTGACCGTATGCCTTCCCAGTGGGGTGATATCACCCTCAAGGAGGCAAAAACTCGTTCTTTGGGGGGCGAAAAAATCTTAAATATTCCAATGGTTTGTGGTACTCCAAAGGGCCAGGGTGTATAAATAGATATACAGTATATTTGTGGTATTAAAATTTGATAGGGGCAGGGGAAACGATTAGGGAAAAAATGTCTAAAAAGATTCCTTAGTGGGTTGATACTGAAAAAAGGGGTGAGAAACACTCTTCTGTTGCAGAGTAGAAACTTCTCCCTAAACTAGGTCTCCTGATGGGGGGATCTCAATATGAAGAGTCCCCAACTAGATCATCAGTGCCCTTGCCTTATTCAGCTTTACGTATCCCCAGTGTAGACAACAACAACATAATAATGATGATTATATTAATCATAATAGCTAAACAACTGTTGGGTGTCTGTTCTAGACATGGTTCTAAGTGCAATACGCTCGTTTAACCTTACCAACGACTATGTGAGGGTAGGAACTATTATTGACCCCACTTTATAGATGAGGAAACTGAGGCTCAGAGAGGTTAAATAACTTGCCACAGGTCACACAGATAATAATTGATGGAGACAAACTTTAAATCCAGGCACTCTTAACCCCACGCTATATTGTTTGTACTAATAGCTGTGGTTAATAATTATTAAAATAATAGCAACCCTCTTTTCAGCATTTACTATGTCCCAAAGACTATGCTACGTACTTTACGTATATTTGCTTGCAGAATCCTCACAACAATGCTAATGGTATGGAAGGTGGGAGTTATCCCCATTTTACAGATGGGGTAACTGAGACTCAGAGAGGTAACCTGACTTGCTCAGGTTATGCAGACAGCGAGTGGTGAGGCTGGTCCCCCAGCCCTGTGAACCCCCAAATGCCAAGCCAGGCAGGGTCCTCTGAGCTGCAGCCCCTCTGAATCCCAGAGCCACAGAGCAGGGGCCCGATTACCCTTCTTCCTCATCCCCAGAATATCCTGTGCCAGACAGAGGAGGGGTCCAACCGCCAGGAGAATGCCCAGAAGGCTCTGGGTGCTGTCAGCAAGGTTGGAGGGGGATGCTGGGGCTGGAGGTGGTGAGGAGGCGGTAGGGAGGGATGGAAGGGGTGGAAGGGAGTGGGGGTGGGTGACTTGGCTCCCCTTACCCAGATCATTGAGCGGTGCAGCGCCGAGGTGGGGCGCATGAAGCAGACAGAGGAGCTGATCCGGCTCACGCAGAGGCTGCGCTTCCACAAAGTCAAGGTCAGATCCTGCCCGGGCTCCCTGCTTCCCTTTCCCCGCGGTAGTGCTCGCGCTGCAGGGAAGTCAGAACCTTTTCCCTGCTTCCTCACAGGCCCTGCCCCTGGTCTCCTGGTCCAGGCGCCTGGAGCTGCAGGGGGAGCTGACTGAGTTAGGATGCAGAAGGGGGGGCGTGCTCTTCGCCTCCCGCCCCCGCTTCACCCCCCTCTGCCTGCTGCTCTTCAGTGACTTGCTGCTCATCACTCAGCCCAAGAGGTGGGTCTCAGGGAGGGAGGCAGCCCAGGCAGGATTCCAGCTGGACCCCTGCTCTCCCTCTGAACTTCCTCTTCCCTGGGCAGTGGGCAGCGGCTACAGGTTCTGGACTATGCCCATCGCTCCCTGGTCCAGGCCCAGCAGGTCCCGGACCCATCTGGACCACCTACGTTCCGCCTCTCCCTTCTCAGCAACCACCAGGGCCGTCCCACCCACCGGCTACTCCAAGCTTCATCCCTGTGAGTTGTGTCTCTTTCAGAAAACACCCTGGGGACCCTCACTTGACCTCTCCGAGTCCACCAGCCTCCTCCCTAATCTCTCTTCTCCGAAGCCCGTGCCTAACTAACCCCCAGGAGGATCTCCGGGGCCAACTGTGACCCTTCCCTATATTCCCACCAGATCAGACATGCAGCGCTGGCTGGGAGCCTTCCCTACCCCAGGCCCCCTTCCCTGCTCCCCAGGCACCATCTATGAGGACTGTGGTGAGTGTTCCCTAGAGGGGAGGAGGGAAGGAAAAGTGAGTCTTCAGGGGAAAATGGGGAGAAGCTAAAAAGAGTCTGGATCCCACTGTAATGTCACCCACCCTGACCAGACTGTTCCCAGGAACTCTGTTCAGAGACTTCCACACCTGCCAAGACTGAGGGACGGAATCTGGAGTCCAGGGCTCCCCGCAAGCACCTATACAAGAGCCCCGAAGGTGAGAGATCCTTTTACTTATTCATTCAATAAATATTTATTAAGCACCTATGAGCTGCCACTCGCTGTTCTCGGCACCAGTGAACCAAACACGCAGATATTCCTGCCCTGCTGGACTATACATTCTAGTGGAGGAGAAACAATAAAGAATAAACAAGATAAATAAGTAACATATATACAATGGAATATTACTCAGCCATAAAAACAAACGAAATTGAGTTATTTGTAGTGAGGTGGATGGACCTAGAGTCTGTCATACAGAGTGAAGTAAGTCAGAAAGAGAAAAACAAATACCGTATGCCAACGCATATATATGGAATCTAAAAAAAAAAAAAATGGTTCTGAGGAACCTAGGGGCAGGACAGGAATAAAGACAGAGACATAGAGAATGGACTTGAGGACAAGGGGAGGGGGAAGGGTAAGCTGGGACAAAGTGAGAGAGTGGCATGGACATATATACACTACCAAATGTAAAATAGACAGTTAGTGGGAAGCAGCCGCATAGCACGGGGAGATCAGCTCGGTGCTTTGTGACACCTAGAGGGGTGGGATAGGGAGGGTGGGAGACGCAAGAGGGAGGGGATATGGGGATGTATGAATACATAGAGCTGATCCACTTTGTTGTACAGCAGAAACTAACACCACATGGTAAAGCAATTATACTCCAATAAAGATGTTAAAAAAAAAAAAGTAAGTAAATTATACTGTCTGAAGGTGGTAAGTGCTGTGGGAAAACGAAAGTGGAGCAGAGTCAAGGGGGGTCAGGAGTCCCGGGGTTGGGTAGGCTTACATGTTTAAGTAGGGAGGTTGAGGGGGACCTTGTTGAGGAGGCACCGTGTGAGCAGTGACTTGGTGGAGGTGAGGAATTTAGGCACATGGTGTCTGGGGGAAGAGTGTCCCAGAGGGGAGGGAGGAGTCAGGCCGGTGTGTTTGAGGAGCAGTAAGGAAGCCAGTGTGGCTAGAGGGAGTGAGGAAAACGGGGAGAAGCAGATGACATCATAGGGGTAACGGGGACCAGATCACGTGGGTCCTCGTAGGTTCCTGTAAGGAGTCTGGCTCTCACTCTGCATGAGATGAGCAGTCAACGCAGGGCTTGACAGAGGAGGGAGCCCGATCCTCTTTTCTTTTTTTTCTTTAACTTTTTATTGGAGTATAGCCTATTAACAATGTTGTGATAGTTCCAGGTGCACAGCAAAGCAACTCAGCCATACATATACATGTATCCATTCTCCCCCAAACTCCCCTCCCATCCAGGCTGCCACATAACACTGAGCAGAAGGACCCCGACCCTCTTTGATGTTGATGTTTCCTCCACCTCTAATGGCCTTTTTACCAATTCTCCAAGGCTTCTCCACTAATCCCCGCACCCGCCATGACCTTCAGGCATTAGACCCCACTGGGCCTCCTCTCCGTCCTGACCTGCCCCCTGCCCCGGTCCCACTTAGGCCCTTGTCTCTCTTTCCCCAGGCTGGCTGAAGGGGCTTCCTGGGGCCTTCCCTGCCCAGTTGGTGTGTGAAGTCACGGGGGAACACGAAAGGAGGAAGCACCTTCGTCAGCACCAGAGGCTCCTGGAGGCTGTTGGGCCCTCTTCAGGCTCCCCCAGTGCCCCGCAGCCCTAATGCAGGCTGGGGGGACGGGGTGGCGGCACAAGTTGGGACAGCTGGCAGCCTGGCACAGAGGAGACAAAGCCCATCCATCCATTGGATTTGCTGTCAGTGGAAACGCTACCTCAGTGGCAACCAATAGGGACAGAGCTTCAGGACTGGGCAGTCAATGAAAACAGGGCCGTCTGAGCCCACGCATGAGGGAGAATGAAGATGGCTTGAGTGGATTGCCAGTGGAGACAGAGGCTCAGTGCAGAGTGGCCAGTGGGTGCTGAGCTGGCTGAGCCTCTGGCCAATGAGTATCCCTGCTATGCTCACAGCCAAGAAAGAGGAAGCTAGGTCAGTGCAGCTAAAAGAGGGCTGCACTGGAGATAAAGTCCTAGGATAAAATAGCCAACAGCAGGGACACATCCAGCCAAAGAAGATGGTGATCTGGGCCCAAGAGACCAGTAGGAACCCTGCTTGGTGCTATAGCAACGACCGTCTTGCCTTTTGAGTCTGGGAAGTATTAGATTCCATTCCTGGGGTGCCTCCTGTGTCCTCTTGAGCCACTTCCTCTCTTCTAGAAGAATCCAGAGTATGTGTCTCAGAGAATCTGTGTGTGTGTGCATATGTCTGTACATGTATCAAGGAAGGTGATTCTGCTGAACATGGTGTGTGTGTGGTCTTGCCCCCTTCCCAGATGATTGAATCCTCGATTTCTCCCCTCACTCCCCATTTTTCCTATTAGCCTCCTCAGGAAAGACACTAGGTCTGAGCTCCAGAGGAGAATGTGCTGGGTGTGGTTGGCAGCCAGAGGCCAGAGCTGGGGATGAGAGGCCTGGGTTCGGCCTCCATAATCCCTACCTGCAGATCCTCCAACCTGAACTATAACCAGCCATTCAGCCTCAGCCTCGGGCTTCAGACTGGCTCTGGGTCCTGGGGTTGAGTGAAGAAACAGGAGCCGTGGATCTCGGGCCAGCTGAGCCTCTAGGGCTTTCTTGCCTTCATCCTGGTCCTTTCACAGAAACACTGGGCCAAGCGGTGGGGAGAGAACAGAGAACCAGCATTACTGCCTAATCCCACCCAGAGCATCTGCTTCCAGATGAGAGACTGCCCCCGCACAATGCCAGAAGGAGGTGAGGAATGGAGACAGAGCGGAGCAGACAGTTGCTGGCAAGTGGGGGCCCGGGCCTGGCACAAGGTCATCCCTGAGCTAAGCCATCACACCTTCCCTTCAGCTCATGCATGGCAACTTGCCCAGGACAGAAACTGCCACGCCGACCACTGGAGGTGCAAGGACTCTGGGAGACTGAGAGGGAGAAAGGCACTGGCATTTTGGCATGTCCATGACTTTGGGGATTCACCTAGCACAGTGCCTGACATATGAGAAACCCTCAATAAATGGTGGAGCTGCATTGAGGCTCTCCTGGGAGCATGTGCTTAAAGGAGCAGTGGTTTCCAAATGTGACTTTATTAGGGGGGAGGGGCTGGTTGAAAAGGGATCCTTTGAGAGCAGGGGTTAGCTCTGCTGGGAACTGGGGCTTGGAGACCAGGTGCAAGGTGTGTTGGCGCACTCATAGCTCCTGAGGGATCTGTGGCGGTGTGATGGGAGGAGCGCTGCACATGCTGAAGCAGAGAGCTGCTGCGGGTTGGGGAAGAGGACTGGCAGAGCCAGATATGGATGGGGCTCTGGCAGGGGATGAAGATGCAGCAAGAAGGACACAAAGGGCAATCAGTCAGCAATAAAGATCCTTTACTGACCAGCCAAGCATCTCTGTGTCTAATTTATTTCAATTCTACACCTATTTATTGAGTGCCTTCTATGTGCGAGGCACTCTTCTAGGATCTGGGGACACAGAGATGAAACAAGCAAAGGCCTCGACCTCAAGGAGCCTACATTCTGGGGGAGCAGGTGGGGGGAAGTTCCTAAGTAAACAAGTTAGTAAGTAAGAAAAGATCAGGTAGCAGTGAATGCTATGAAGAAAATATAGCAAAGGCTATGATACAGAGTGCTGTGTGTGTGTGTGTGTGTGTGTGTGTGTGTGTGTGTGTGTGTGTGTGGCTTTGGGGAAGACCCTGGAGGAGGTAACATTGAGCTGAGACAAGAAGGGAGCATCTGGGAAGATCTGGGCAAATGGCACTCTAGGGGTGGTCTCAAGGGGATTGAAGTCCAGGAAGAGAAGGCAGCGGGCATGGGGAGGGAGCTGGCCTACAGGCTCCTTCCTTTCCTAGTGCGGGAGTCCCTCCACACAAACTCCCCTCTTCCCCTGACATAGAGAGACAGACACACATCCAGAGGCAGACACAGAGCTGCACGTGTGCCCCATATATGTTCCATCTCAACTCCTCACTCTCTCCCCGAGTCCTGCCACTTAAGGAAGCCTCCAGGCTCCAAGTCAGAGGTTCTAATATTGGGATGATGGGGAGATGGAGACCAGTTAAGAATTGTTTGGGGGGAGTAAAGACACAAAATATAACCACATGTTCCAAAGGGATGGAAAGACAGGGAGTGAAGGGGACTGTCATGTTTCTGTTATCTCAGAGGCCCCTTTCCATTTTGGGGTGACCTGAGTGTGTGTGTGTGTGGTCCTGGAGGGGTCTGCATTCTGCAAGCCTGTTGGAGAGGGTAGAGGGGCATGAAAGAGGCAGATGTGAGGGAGCGAGGACCACCAGTAGCATGGAGAAAGTGGATGGGAGAAGGAATGGGGCCCTGGTAAGAAAGGCAGAGAAAATGGAATAATGGATGGTGGGGGCGGGGGAAGGTATGGGACGTCCCTGGCAGTCAGAGGTTAAGAGTCCGCGCTTCCACTGCAGGGAGCGTGGGTTTGATCCCTGTTGGGGAACCAAGATCCAGCACGCCTCGCAGCGTGGCAAAAAAAAAAAAAAAAAAAAGGGAGGGGGTACAGGTGGCAGTAAGTAACTTAGTATTAGTTCCCCTAAGCTCTCTCGCTCCCTTTCCTGAACACCCTCTGCCAGGCATCAACTTCTCTGTGTATACAGCCTCCTCCTGATGTCCATCATCGGCTCCATCCTGTGTTGCTCCTCCCCTTTCTTGCCCCTCTGGCTGCCTTCAGCAATTTCCTTGTAGGTGTGGCATGAAGACCCATGGGAGGAGAAGTCTCTCTCAGTGCTGCCCTGTCAGGCATTCCAGGCACGGTGGTGTTACTAACATCCCAGGTGGTAGAGAGGTACACTGACTGGCTTGGGGCATCCTGGAGCTGCCATTGCCCCATTCCTTCATATTCTATCATTCTGGGGAGGTGGAAGAAACAAACATTTTCACAGGCTTAGGAAAGGCTCACGTGTGTCTCAGACCTGGCGGAGGTGACTGGGGAGACAGATTGGGGAAGCCGGGCTCTGGTTGCGAGGCTTTCTCTGAATCAGTACGTGCTCTCTGCACTCACAGCCCTGCTCCTCATATCTGTGGCCTCCATATTTGGGGAGTCGATGATAATGCAGATAGGATAGGGCTCCGACCTCCCTTTGCACTGGCCCTTCTATGGGCTCTGGGTCAACATCCTTGTGGCCATTGTTGCAGGTGAGGCTGGTTGCAATCATGACCTCAAGCAACAGGTGTTTGAGAGGAGCCCGCTTCTCCCCACAGCCTGCTCATTAGCGTTTTCTCCTCTCCTTTTAGCCCCACCGACCCCTCCAGCCCACTTCCTGCGATCCATTCCACAGCCCTTCAACCTGGCTCTCTGTCCATCCCTGAAAGCTTTTCTCTCTCCCTCCTTCCGCGCAGGGCTCGCATCTCGTCAGCTACAGTGGTATCTGCTGGTTCCTGTCCTCCGTGTTGGTCAGTCGCCCAGGCAGGCATAGCATCCCCGTGCAGGAATACCTCTCCTCCGACAGCGTCTCCAGAGAACTCCCGGAGGCCGCCCCGTCCTGGCTCCCCAGTACGCCCTCTCCAAACTACCCGCTCTGCACCCTCCAGCGGCCCGAGAGCGTCCCAGGCCAGAACAAGGGAAGCAGAGGGGCAGAACTCCCCGAGGATTCACTGGGACCCAACCCGTACTCCCCTCACCCCGGGGCGTGGCCAGGACCCTCCATGGCCCCGCCCCCTGGATTGGCCCCGCCTCCAGGCCGAGCTCCGCCTCTCCCCGTGAGGCTGAGCTCTCCCTCTCCCTGCGGTGGACCCAGACCTACTGGACGAGGAGAGCTTCCCGCACCCGGCCTTAGCAGGACATCTGGCCAGGCTCGGTCTCCTGCTTCCGCCCCCACGGAGGAATCCTCACGAAGTTGAGGCGCAAGCTCTTCGTCTGCAGTCAACCGCACGCCGACGCCCCCTCCCCGCCCTGACCCGCCGAACTCTTGCTGTCGCCCCACCTTCCCAGGGCAGGCGTTTAGCAGATTATCAACTTCGGACCCTGTTGGTCACCTGGGCGCTCAGCTCCCGAGCATCGATCATCGGAGGCCGGGTTGGCATTTTCCATCGGTCCCTGCACGCACCTCTGTCACTGGGAACTCAGACTTGCCTTGATGCTTTTCCAGATTCACAAAGGGAGGCAACCCTGAGTTTAGCAGACTCTAAACTAAGAATGCATAGAGGCAGCCTGTCTGTGTCCTTCAGTTTATTGCCCAGGCCACAGAACTACCCTGAGCTCAGAAGCATTTTCTCTTGGGGAGGAAACTGATTCATTTCTGAAAATTTGTTTTCTATTCATATTTAGGGTGAGAAGAAACAAAGTAAGATGAGAAGAGGTGAGAATCAGAGAGAAGTGCTGACAGGTATTGGGGAAATGTCAATTAAAACCAATAAACATTTCCTGAATCTCAGCTAAGTGCCCAAGTCAAAAGAAGGATGGAATGGAGAAAGAGGAAGACAAAGTGGGTTAGAGAGAGAGAGAGAGAAGAAACGTAGGAGGGAGGGCTTGTAATGCAGGGGTCAGATTCTGGCCTGCAAAGGCAAAGAGGCCTTGGATTCAGGAGGAGGACCAGAAACTGATTTTCCATAAAGCTAATATTGCTGATTTTTTTCCAGGATGCTTTGAATATACCCAAAACTCTCGAGTGAGACTGTCCAGATTCAAATGCTGGCTCTACCACTTATTAGGTCTGTAACCTTAGCCGTGGTTCGATACCTGGTGGGGGAAGATCCCACATGCCGTGGAACAACTAAGCCCATGCGCCACAACTACTGAGCCCGCACGGCACAGCTACTGAAGCCCACATGCCTAGAGCCTGCGCTCCGCAACAAGAGAAGCCACTGCAATGAGAAGCCCGCACACCACAACGAAGAGTAGCCCCCGCTCGCCGCAACTAGAGAAAGCCTGTGTGCAACAACAAACACCCAATGTGGCCAAAAATAAATAAATAAATAATAAATTAATTAAAAAAAGAAAAATTAGAAACTGGCTGTTCGTTTTCCAAAGTGTCTGTACCATTTTGCATTCCCACCAGCGATGTATGAGAGTTCTGGTTGGTATCCTGCTCTGTGTCTTGGCCAGTACTTGGTGTTGTCAGTTTTGTCGTTTTTGTTTTGCGTGCCGGTCCATTAGGTTGTGTGGTGCTATCTCACTGTGGTTTTAATTTGTGTTTCCCTAATGACTAATGATGCTGAGTATCTTTTCATGTGCTTCTTGGCCATTCACATATCTTCTTTGGTGAAGTGTCTGTTCAAATATCTTGGCCTTTTAAAAACTGGGTGGGTTTATTTTCTTATTATTGTGTTTTAAGAGTTCTTTAAATATTCTAGATATAAGTCCTTTATCAGATATGTGATTTGAAAATATTTTCTCCCAGTCTGTGGCTTACTTATATTTTCATTCCTCTAACTGCATTTTTCCAAGAGCAGAAATTCTTAATTTTGCAGTCATTTTTAAAACAATTTATTTATTTATTTATTTATTTGTCTGTGCTGGGTCTTAGTGGCAGCATGTGGGATCTTCATTGTGGCACATGGAATCTTCAGTTGTGGCATGCGGGATCTAGGTCCCTGACCAGGGATCAAACCCAGGCCCCCTGCATTGGGAGCATGGAGTCTTAGACACAGGACCACCAAGGAAGTCCCTGCAGTCACTTCTTGCTTTGTTTTAAGCCACCATTTTTTTCTTCCTACTTCTGTTTAGTTGGTATATAGAAGGCAATGGAATGTCCCACAGGGGCAGAACCAAGCAAGCAGGACACACACTGGCAAGTGGGTCTGCCCATCATTCTCCCATGTGCCCAAAGCCTCAAGGTCAAAGGGCATCCTGGGAGGAGAGTGGACCTAGCAACTCAGATCTTTTAGTCTCATTCTTTACTCAGTGTGTTATCCTTGGGCCGGCAGCATGGGCACCACCTGGGAGCCTGTCCGAAGTGTGGCATCTGCATTTTAATGAGATGCCCAGGCCAGGAGTACACACATTAGAGTTTGAGGAACACCAGCAACGACAGGCCCACATGAAGGAAGGATGCATATTTCATAGATGTGAAAGGGAGGGAACATTGCAGCCACTGAAATGAATTCTGGCCACTGAAATGTCCTAGCAATGCCACGGGTCTGGGAGCTCACCACAAAGGAGATTCATGCTGGTGTTTGTACCGGGATGAGCTGGCCTGGGGTAGGACTGTTTCTGAATGTAATGCAGGTAGCAAAGCAGGTCCACGTGGACAGTCAAGGAGTGACCAATAAGCCTGTGTTCTCGAGTCCATGTTCTAAGCCCAAGTCCATGTTCTCCAGGTCGGCTTTGCCCATGGGCACTGAGAGGCTATTGTCCCCTAAGGATGTCTAAGCACCTGCCCTTACGGATGGAACAGTGGGGCACCGTCCTTCTCAGA